GAAGTGAGGTCCTTTAGTGTAAGAAAAAGGCATACCCCTTGAAACCCCCACAATCCATCAGCAATCTCAAAGGCCTTTCAATGTTTCCCTTGAAATAATAAGAATCATGTAAACAAAAGATAATATTACTGACATGGTGTTTACCCATTAAAGTGATGGATGGTCGTGTACCTCAGCAGGAGGGTCGGGCCCAGCCCTTTTTGGGTGGGGGGCCCTCCGTTTTTGCAACACATTCCCCCTGCCCTTTCCTTTCAGAGCTGCTTAAACCCGGAAATTGTAGGTTGGAAAAGGGAAGAATGAGGGGAAAGGGAGAAGTAAAAAAGAGTGGGGAATTGCTAATTTTATGAACTTTTAAATAAAAAATAATTTTTAAAGTTTAATTTTTGGGCTTTGACTTTAATTTAAACAGTTTTTACATTTTATAGGGCTTTTTGAAGTTTTGTTTCTAAATTAAAAGTTATAACCTGTATAGTTTTTTTTTGGGTAAAAGGGTAAAGGGTAAATGAAAAACAAAAGGTGCCCTTATTAAATTTTTATATTTAAAAGGGGAAAACGCTAAAAAACCCGGGGGATTATCAGCATGGGGGGGGGGGTGTGGATGGCATTCAGGCTTAATTTTGGGGAACTGGGCACAGATCCCAAATTTCCCCAAATCAAGAGCCCCCCACCAACATAAAAGGAAACCTTTTTGAGGGGAAAAAAAGGTTTTCAGAGGACGGTTTTTTTGTGACAATTTTTGTCAGTTACTATGTAAGCAACTATAATTACTAAAGCTTGTGTAATTTTTAGCTAAAAAAAATTTAAAAGTCCTTTTGATTCATTTCCCCCTTTGGAAAAGTGAAACCGTTTAGAAGAGATAATTTTCGGTTTACTGGGGTTTTATTGGGAAAAGTTTTTTTTCCCCAGGAATTTTTTCGTAAGACGTTGTAAGTCCCTAGTGTCGAAAAAGTTTAAAACAATTGCCAAAAAGCATATTACGCCCCTTTTTTAAAATACTAACACTTGGGTTTTTAAAACCCCTTGGGGAAATGTCATTTTAGGTATTTGTTGTTAAACGGGGTTTTAATTATTATCATTGGGGGTGCCCAAAACCCCCCGGGATTATACAGGGCTTGTGGGGGGGGGGGGGAAAGGAAAAAGGGATTCAGGCTAAATTTAGGGGGGGTGGGGGTACAGAAACCCAAATTTCCCCAAAATCAAGAGCCCCTCATAACATCAAGGGCCTTCTTTAAGGGGTAAACGTTTGAATCTGGATGAGGCGTTCACCCAAAATTTTCGCAAAAAAAACCGATCTAAAAGTAACCCAATTTATTGTTATATATATTTCATATTTACTAATATATATATGAAATATTCTATCGTTGAAAATTATATATTTTATTACACTAAAGATTTGGTTATTCCGCATGAGACATTCATTATATCATATGGATAGATACTAAAACTGAGAGTTACGAGTCATCATAAATCATATGCTAATTAATGCTGATCTTGTCATATGTCATATGGAAATGATGTAACAAACAGCTATAAGTGCCTGTGTACGTCTCTTTCAACCGTATACTAAAAAAGACTTACAAAATTGACGGAAACTCTCTGTTCTAGTTAGATGAGGAAATTATAGATCCATCGACCAAAAATTTACTTATTCAATTAGCGCGCATTTTGTGCTATTTGCAGGGTGGAACTGCTGTTCGAAGGCTTTTGCAAAGTCCTGATATATATTACATCTGCATTCTTTTTGTCTAGTTGCATTAGGACCTTGTCGTACGTGATCCAGGTAGTTGAGCAACAGAGCGACCTGTTCTAACCATGTGCCCAGGAAGAAATGGATGAAGGTATAGAGATGGGTTGGTGATCGTGGTTTGTAGGGACCCTTGCAAAGTTTTATGATTGGATAGTTGTGGATTGTCTGTAGTTCTTTGCTCGTTGCCTTTACCTGCCACCCCCCTGCTGGCTTACTGGGGCTAGTCTGTTGTTTTAGTAACTGAGGACGACACGCCCGGTGCCATGGCTACTCCCATAAGATGAAAAGGCCTGATAGGGGCTTTTGACCAGTTTCTTTATGAACACAGAGTTCATGATCATAGGCCTGGCCAGAGTGCATGGGCCATTTTTTTATCGACTTCTCGAAGTCAATTGGCGTCAGGATAACATCGGATAAGGCTTGATTAAATAAATTTTGTACTTCTCATAAAAGATTCCATTGGTTGTTGACTCTCAGTCTGCTTTAGCGGTTGCTAAAACTGAGTCTATAAAATGGACTTGAGTAGTCTCACTCATTTCCTTGCTCGTAAATAATGTGTAGGACCAATTGGTTTAAGTAGTGGCCCAAACTGGAGTTGTGTCTCGATTTTGATTAGGACATATGATGAACGAAATATCTTGGGTTTCGCTTCGATTTCATTTAGGCTGATTTGTCTCTTCCCGCGATTCCTACCCTAAAGGATTCTTTTAGCTTAAGTTCGATGACTTGCTATTCTCTGATAAGGTTCATCGCATTTCGATATTGCTCTATTTAGCCGCTCTGTTATCTGTTCCGTCGCCTGTAAGGGAGCACCTGCTCTTTCGATTGTACACATCCATCCCCTTTTGTTCTAAAACGAAAAGCCTTTGATACATCGAGGCCACCGAGTTAATCTTTCTAGGCTAAGTTGGGTCTGTGTTGCTTGTATTCTTCCCAGCTTATAGCGTTGGACTTGTTTACTTGGTTCCACTTAATGTTTGTTGAATTAATTGAATTTGGTGCAATGCTCCCTTTCAGTTCCATTTTGTCGAGTTGTGGCCCACGCATTACAGTATGAACTCAATTATATTTGACGAGATATGTTTTTGATATGGTGACATTTCTTATCAGATGATCATTGTTAGTGAAGATGAGGTCTAGTGTATTCTCCAGTCTAGTAGGCTCTATTATTTGCTGGTTTAAATTGAATTTTGTGCAGAGATTTAAAAGCTCGTGTGAGTGTGAGTTTTCATCAGAGCTGCCTCCTGGTGTTATTACTGCAACAATATTATTGCTATATTCCTCCATTTTAGGTGCCTTAAGTTGAAATCCCCCAGGAGCAAGATGTTGGGTGCAGGAGCTGGAAGATTTTCCAGACAGTGGTCAATTTTTAACAGCTGTTCCTGGAATTGCTGGGATGTTGCATCCGGAGGCTTGTAGACTACCACAATGACTAGGTTTTGGTTCTCGACCTTTACTGCTAAAACTTCCACTACGTCATTTGAGGCATTAAGCAGTTCTGTGCAAACAAGTGACTCTGCAATGTACAGTCCAACCCCCCCCCCTTTGCCTGTTCACTCTGTCACATCTGTATAGGGTTTTTAACCTGGGATCCATATTTCGTTGTCCAAGTGATCCTTTATGTGGGTCTCAGTGAAAGCCGCGAACATTGCCTTTGCCTCTGCAAGCAGTCCACGGATGAAAGGTATTTTGTTGTTTATTGCTGGCTTTAGACCCTGTATATTTGCAAGAAGAATGTTATCGGACTGGTGGTATTGTTGGTACTGGGGGGGGATTTTTTTTCCGGCATTAGTATCTGTATCTGTTGGTTTGGAGTGGAGGCCATCGACTGTGGTTCCACTCCAGGAATGACTGGATTTGGTGTACGATTTCTGCCATTTCCTGCCAGTTTTTTTTCCTTCCTGGCACTAAAAAACCTCTCCCTCTTGAGTGGCTGTGGCTACCCAGGTTTCCCATGGCCTGGATGTTTTGTATCTTTTTGTCCCCTTTAGATGGTATGCCTGGCAATTTAAGTTATAGCACAGTCTTTCCTGTACTGAAGAGGTACACATTTCAGGGTGAAAAAGCTTACAGGAAGGGAGTTTGCATTTTCCTGTTGTCATATGGGCATGACATTTTCTAGGGTGGTCATAGTTGCATGTCCCATCTGTTTTTCCAGATTTCCCATGCCAGCAGATACCAAGTGCATAGTATGTGCACAGGCTTGGTTTCCGTTTGCCTTGGGTTTCTGTGACTGTATTCCCTGTTGGTGCATGTTTCCCTGTCTTATTCCTATCCTCCCTAGCACCAACAATGGAGCTCCCACCTTCATGGCATACATAACTGCGATAAAACACCTCAATTACTGGGAACGCTTGAAGTTCCTCAACCTGTATTCCCTAGAACGCAGGCAAGAGAGATACATGATTATATACACTTGGAAAATCCTAGAGGGATTAGTACCAAACTTGCACTCGAAAATCACTCCCTATGAAAGCAAAAGACTCGGCAGACGATGCAACATCCTCCACAATGAAAAGCAGGGGTGCCACTAGCACGATAACAGACAACACAGCAAGTGTCAGGGGTCCAAGACTGTTCAACTGCCTCCCAGCATACATAAGGGGGATTACCAACAGACCCCTGGCATGGCTGTCAAGAAAGCGCTGGACAGGCACCTCAAGTAAGTACCTGACCAGCCGGGTTGTGGTTCGTACGGCAGTTTGCGTGCGGCCAGCAGTAACAGCCTGGTTGATAGATCCTGGTCCACTACAAGGCCTGGTCTCAGACCGAGCTGCGGGGGCTTGATCCCCGAAATCCTCTCCAGATATATATATATATATATATATTATATATATATATATATATATATATATATATATATATATATATATATATATATATATATATATATAATATATATATATATATTATATATATATATATATATATATATATATATATATATATATATATATATATATATATATATATATATATATATAAAACTGTAGAGTCTAACTGAGTAAACATAAATTCCTATAATTGCTAAATTAATCTGGATCTGCAAATTCTCATCATGTGTCAAATTAATGTAAACAAACAGACGATGGAAGATGCCTGATTTTCGTTTCTCTCTCATAGACATTTACTAAAAAAAAAACACGCACAAAAATAACGACATAGAAAACCTGAAAAAAATACAAAGAAGAATAAATAAATTCATCCCTAGGAGAAAAAAAAACGAAAAAAAAAAAATGATATTCGTAGTAATTGTTGGTGAGGGAGTTGAAGACTGGCAGGTTGATAGCAGCAACGGCAAGCACTAGAGTATACTAGTGAAGCAACACAACTGTAGTGATTGCACGTAACAGCTGCTGCAGCCATCGGGAGGAGTGAACCTGCAAGCCGAGCTGCACCTCTCCTGGAGATCAAGAAGAACAAGAAAGGAGAAGCAATAGAGGAGGAGTTGTTAGTGTTGACGGTGGGTGTTGGTGGTGGCGCTGCTGGCGGTGTTTGTTTACTACAGATGTGTGGTGTCTGGAGCCTGTGCTGTCTCCACTCCTACCTAGCCTGCCACTCCACACCTGCCTAGGCCTCTACCCTGCCTACACCATCAACACTAGCACACTCACCATGCACTAGCAATGGATGCCACAGGTGAACAATGCCCTAAGTCTTGCTATTGCGGCCACCACACTATAGTGGCGATGTACCAGTTTTACTGTGCCACTTATTATTATCCAAATAATGCTGCGTCCTAGTCTAAGTGCCATTTTTTTTAGAACTTCTGGTTAACATAAATTCAAAGCCAAGACAAGAGTCCACAAGCATTCGCAATAAAATTAATGAGATTCTTAGCTTCATGTCACTAAGGACCCCAATGGTAGTAACTCACTGTATCTGACTTTTTTTTGGGTTATCCTAGGTAATTTATAAAATGTATGATAATTGTACTTATGTCTACCTGTGCCTAAATAAATTTACTGACTACAAAATAAGAGCTCCTCAAGTTATGTGGAGAACTGGATAGATAAGTATACTTTCCTGCATGAAACAACATATATTAATCGAAACTTATCTGTAACAGCATGATATTCGTCGACCTCCAGCTGATCATCCCTTCGGAGTGCCGTTCCAGTTACCACCAGGGCTGTAGATTAATAAGTGTATTAGAAAACAACTTGCCCCAAAGGCGTGTATATCTCAGCATTTCACTACGTCTGAAATACATAGTTGTACTCGCTTGGCTTGGGTGAAATCACCTACACATGACAGTCTGGAATAGGACAGCACCAATCACCTTGTGTCTACCTAAAACTGCAGTTTTATAATTGGCTTTACAAGTGAGATTAAGATTTACCTTGCTCGTGTAACGTGAGCTTATGACGTTGACAGCGCCATTTAAGGCCGATATTGGTGACTTGACTGAAAACTTGAGTGTCTTGAGAAATGTTCGTTGCAATTACTTGCAATGCAGGTTGCACTTCACTTTTCAGTTCCATCATTTGTTCATAGTTTCGTGGAATTATCCACCGCAGGAAGAACATGGATATACATTAACACTACATGATTAGTTATACTGTGAATTTTCTGACTCTTATAAGGGAACTAGTCTAACTTTCCTAGTTTCCTGAGATTGTTAGAACGAACAAGAGTTAAGAATGCACTAGTCACTACTGTCCCTTTGTCTTTTAATGATAAGGAGGCAACACCCTCGTGACACACGTCCTCGTCCGTTCCTCGAAGCAATCTGAGGCCCTCCTGCCTCATTGCCCTTCTCATCATCCCCACAAAGGATATTCTGAACTCAGCTTTATTTCTTTTCCTTGCTACACATTGCAACAGTATTCAATACAAGAACGTAAATTTCTTATCTAGTTATAGTCTAGAATTCATAATATTCCTAACTTGTAGATAAAGTTGGTACAGGGTTTTCTCTTAACCCTTAAACTGTCCAAACAAATTTACGTTCACATGCGTAGTGCTCCAAAAGTAGATCTACGTTGTTTTACATATTTTCAAATATAACAAAAAAAAAGTAGATCAAAGTTTTTTTTACACGTTTTCAAATGTAAAAAAAAGAAAAGATCTACTTTTTTTACATACTTTCAAATGTTGAAAAAACGTAGATCTATGTTTGGACAGTTTAAGGGTTAATTTTCCTTCTATGGAGGAAGAGTAATTACTCTCGTTTAACTCTCACTGTGTAGTTGCAACAAGTCTAGCAAGGAGAGGAAAGCATGTCTTGTGATGCTACGGTACAAACATGGGTTTGATAAATCTGTGAGAAAGGAAGAGTCCACTATACACAAATAACCCGCACATAAGAGAGAGAAGCTTACGACGACGTTTCGGTCCGACTTGGACCATTGACAAAGTCACACTTTGTCAATGGTCCAAGTCGGACCGAAACGTCGTCGTAAGCTTCTCTCTTTTATGTGCGGGTTATTTGTGTATTGTTCCAGTCACGGTATTGTGCCTTTTTGTTATTTAAGAGTCCACTAACCCCTTCTGGGAGTGCTAAGTCCCTCAGAGGGCTGAAAGATACCCCGTTTACTGGAGAATTTTCTCCACAGGTTATATGTACATACTTTAATTCTTTTATATCTTTGGTGAGGCTTCATTTATATTATACTGCTCAGTTCAAGTCTCCATATTACAGAATGGACATAAATGCACTGGAAAATATACAGAGAATGATGATGAAATTGATCCTTGTGTATTAGAAACCCTTTGTACAAAGGTAAGTATATAAGAATGAAGGAACATTTCAGTAGGCCTACTGATAGACTGAAGGCATTGAACTGGCATTTACTGGAAAGATGTAGAACGAGAGGAGATATGATTTAAGTGTCTAAATTGAAAAACGAGAATAAATAAAAGGGATACGTATAATCTCTCCAAAACAAGACTTGCAGCAGCAGACTCAAGTTGGACGAGTTTAGATTTAGAAACAATATAAGGAAGTACTGGTTTTCCAGCAGCTTTATAGTCATCAAGGCAAGTACTTTGGGTAGATTTGAATATAGCTTAAATAAATTTTATTTAGGTACAGGTAGACTTAAGTACAATTATCATACATAGTTTACATACATGTATATGTAAATTACCTAGAATAACCCAAAAAGTCAAAGTGAATTATTTCCATTGGGGTCCTTGTAATATCTTAATATTTAAATATTTAATATTTAAAGCCTAGCTGTAAGCTTGGATAGGTATATGGGGGGTGGGTTTAGTTAGGTGTGAATCAGACACGTGTAACTAAAGAGACATTTTATTGTGGCAACATGTTGGTCTCAGGGCACTTTGTCAAGACATACAAAGAATACAAAGATCATGAATTGAACCTGCCTGGCATGGGCCAGTAGGCATGTTACAATGCTCCAGTGCTTATTTTCCTCCTCCATGCAAGCTTCTGTTTTGGTATTGTGAAAATTTTAATTTTGGTTAGTCATATGTAAATGGACTTATTGAATGTATAAGAATTTGTGTTTCATCTTTAACAGGAATAATATAATCTTGAATGTAAGTACATCATTAATATAATTATAATCTCTAACATAATTACTTTTTATAGATTTACATAACCTAGAAATATTTTTGATATCCAATTGTCACATAAATGGCCTTTAACAAACTGTTCATTACTCTACTGCCATTTATGTAGACATTTTTAAAATTCCCTAAATGTACATTTTATATATATAATGGAAGTTTTTTTTACATATAGTAAACCCTTGATTTAACCCTTTGACTGTTTTCGACGTATAAATACGTCTTACGAGCCAATGTTTCTGACGTATATATACTCAATAATTCTAGCGGCTTCAAATCAAGTGGGAGAAAGCTGGTAGGCCCACATGTGAGAGAATGGGTCTGTGTGGTCAGTGTGCACCACATAAAAAAAATCCTGCAGCACACATTACGTAATGAGAAAAAAAAAACTCTGATCGTTTTTTTGGAATAAAACGCCGACTTTGAGGTGTATTTTCGTATAGTATTTATCGTTGTATTCGCGTTTTCATGGTCTTAGGTGATAAAATGGAAAACATATTACAGAAATAGAGATGATTTTCATTACTTTTACGATGAAAACGACCTTGAAACTAAGCTCAAAGTAGCGAAAATGTTCGATTTTTACCAATGTTGAAGAGTAAATAAATCACACCACACGTCCAATACACATCAACTAGGGAGTCTAATATTCTTTCACTAGTGCACTGATATTATTTATACCATTTTTACAATAATGCAGTCGTCTGCATAACAGTAAATTTTGTATTTTTTTGTATGCATAAAAAATCAAAATAGAAAGCAATAATAATATAAGAGGGGCCTAGAGATGTGACAAATGAACAGAGCATATGTTATTTTAGTGCCACGAATGTCTACCTTGTTTATTCTGGACCCTATTTTGAAATTGGCATCTTTTTTATTTTGCGTGAAATTGGCCAAATTGCCAATTTCTGACCACCATATTGGGTAGTCCAAATTAGTAAATGGGAGGTTTCTTGTACTCAGCTGATAGACAAAATGGAGTTCTAAAGAAATAGCTATGAGTTTGGTCAACTGGAACAATGGAATTGGCTGAAAATTGGGCTCAAAGTCGGCGAAATCGCCGATACGCATATGTCGCCGAGACCGCTAACTTCGCGGGACCATAATTCCACGAGTTTTCGACCAAATTTCGAACTTTTGGTGTCATTACCATCGGGAAAAGATTCTCTATCATTTCATAAGAAAAAATAATTTTTTTTTTTTTCAAAAATTGAGCGACATAGAATGACAGTTTCAGAGAGGGGCCTGAAACAGTCAAAGGGTTAATAGGGAAGGAGGTGTACGTACGTTCAAGTTGACTGTGTGTAAATCCAACTTATGAATTTTTCTTTTCCTTGATTATAACTAATAGACAGTTTTGGATTTAATGGGCTTAGTCCATTAAATCTGTATATAAATTTACCAAATGGACTGCAACAACAGAGAATTGTGGATTTAACAAAGGCCATTAAATCCAGAATTGTCTTTAAAGATAACAACCAGTTTTGTTTTAACAGACTGTTCTTTGCTTCTGAATATTGTCTGGCTGCATATTTTATCCATTAATTCCAAAAATTGTTAAATCAGGGGTCTGTCAAATCGAGATTCTACTGTACTTAATGAAATTCTCATCTATTATTACATTATATGTTAACATAAAAATGAAGAGAAAAGTAAATTTTTGAGGTGTACCAATTTACTCTACAGTATTTCCAAATAAAGGCTGTACTATGCTTCTCTGGCATTCAACATAGAAACATATATCACACTGGAACATTTTATTAGGAAATGTTTTTCTCTCCATGTGCTATGAATCTGGACGTAGAAAACTACTGAGCACATTTGAAATGAAATCCTGTTGCAAGTTTTCAATTTAGGTTTGTTTACCTAGTAAGATGAATACAGAAGAAAAAATGTACAGTGCGGTAGGACCCCCATATCCACAGGAGATTTGTTCCAAAGACCTGCTGCATATACCAAAACTGTGGATGGTAGCAAACCCTATATATAAGTCCTATACATACCTATTATAAAATTTAATAGATAAATTATCCACAATAAGTGGAGAATTATTACTTTTTCACTGATGGGAAGTACTTCATGGCTTCAAAGCCTAAGAGAAGCCAACTTCTCTACTTTTGTGCTTTGGGGCCATTATTATGCTCAGTAAACCATGGAAAACTGAAACTGTGGATATCGAATCAGTGGATACGTGGGTTCTACTGTATAATGAAATCTTGCAAGTTACACTCCTTGCGAATTTGATTGTGCTACTGTACTGTATTGCTTTATGCAAATATCATTAAATTATTTTAAATCTGTTATTATATTTCAGGGAAATCTTCATGCGAGGTGGGTGAGAGAGAAGTGAAAGGGTTTGAAGATAGGCCTGTTATGGCAGAGACAGCAACATTGGTAGCCAAAGAAAGGAATGTGCAGCAGGGGCCACAGAATGATGTACACAAATCTGCTGGTACTCAGGACCCAGTGAGTGTGTGTCCCAAAGTGCCTTCACAAACATCATATTCCTCCATGGCTCCATCACAAATGGAACAGGAGGAGAGAAACTTAGAAAATTTAACCATAGTGCCATCTGTAGAGGACAATCCTGAAAAGCAGGGTGCTGTAGGTCTGCCAGATCTTCTTGTTGAGAGTTTCAATAGTGAACGACAAATTGAGTTGTGTGCCCCAGGTGAGGATCATGAAAGAAAAAGCTCGGAAATAAAGCAGCTAAGTGTGAATCTTGTTAAAGATGATGCAAAAGAGAAGGACTGCAGTGGCGTTTGTGGCTGGATATCACAGGGAGAATCGGTGCTGCCTTCAATGGGTATCTTGCCTGAAGCTGAGGAAATCCCTACTCAGGCTTCCCAGCCTCAAAGATCACAACCAATAGTTTCATCAGCACCTACGACTGTTCCAAGTTCAGAAAAACGCAGTCCTGAGTCTCACACTGTTGACCCCTCTGATGTTGTTCACAAGATCAAGAAAATCAAGTGGCAAGACATTGAGGTGCCCATCATTACACAAAACAACAATGGTCCATGTCCCCTTCTTGCAATTGTTAATGTCATGATTCTAAAGGTATGTCAGTATTTTATATTTACATTTATGCTAAATTATATAGTATTATGGTTTGAATTTTCATTTGCTTGCTTGCTTAAGTTTAATATACAGGCACATTATAAAAATTATTGTAATTTTTATAAATTATTGTACAGTATATATAGTGCATATATGTTACTGTATAGGTACATTATACAAATTACTATTCATTAATGAAAAAATAAATTTAAATATAATCACAGTGTAGGTAAATATATCATCCTGTCTTGGATCAGACAAATTTTCTTATGCATTTCTAATTGAAAAATAAAATTTAAGATTATTTATGTATTGTTGCCCGAGAATAATTGTAGTTACAGTGCTGGTCACTAAAGTAGTAGAATGTCGTAGGATTCCTGAAGGCTACTGGCTGCATAGTCAGTGCCTTATAGGCTTGTGTGGTAGATGGATGTCTGTGATCTCCCTGTGCTATATGATCTTGAGTGATGAGGTTGATGGACATTTTTGGCTATAGACAATATGGGCAGGAATGAGTTATTGATACAAGAGACAGTGGCACAGATCGTTGGATTACAGAAGGCAGGCCATCTAGCATAGGAAATAGTAGAAACCATTAGTGTGTGTGAGGATTTACTGAGGAACTGGGGGCATCAGTTCTGTGACGGCATTGGTGATGACGTGCCCACATTACAAACACGTCCGGGGTATAACAGTATTACATGTAATGTATGTGGAGGCATTTGTCTAGGTTTCCCTGGTTGTGCTCATGGTGTGGTCATGTCATCACCACTGCCATCAAGGAACCGACACATGCAGATAGCTTCTACTATTTCTTTTATTTGATGGCCTACCTTATGTAATCCAATAATCTGTACAATTGTCTCATGTCAACTATTTATTCTTGCCCATATAAATTTGTTTGTACCTAAAAATGTCTGACAACCTTGGTGCTTAAGTCTACAGTGTAAGGAGGCCACAGACATGCATCTATCTATTACCTAAACCTAGAAGGCCCTGAGCATGCAACTAAGTAGCCTTTGGGAATCCTGTGATGTCCAGGTACATGTTGTCAGGCTGGCATTAATTTTTGTTGTACCAAACTGAATGTCAGAGTTAAGCATTATTCTAATATTAAAGCATGCCAATCACCTTCACCCAGCATACTTTGGTGATGGGCACTTATTGAGAATTATTAAATTAAGTGATATTTTACCCTTGATGATACTATAAGATGGAAATGCTTTTATTACTTAGTGTAGGTAAAATATTCAAAATAGGACTACTGGGATTGCATTAATTGTTTTAACTATGATCTGATATGTAAACTAAAAGGTACATGTATATGTATTATTTTCAAATGGATATTATATGCAGGCTAGCCCCATTCTCCCCAACCTTCACAGAAAGATCACCCATGAGATAAAAAGCCTACCAGAATAAACACAGTGAAATACACAGGGAATATTCAAATTTAATCACTGTAATCTAATATGTACATGATGAGGGGCACTTTCTACAAAATCTATGAATGTCAAGTCTAAAATGCAATGTTTGCCTTGGCACATGTTGATGGCAATACAGGTTAATATGCTGATAAATGTTTGAAATAAAATATGGCCTGCAAGCATATTAACTGATGATGATACAAATAGCAATAGCTGTTATGATTTTGAAAGGTCTTAATTCTGATCAGTGGAATAATGTGTGCTGCCATATGTTTCTGGAAAAAAAAATATATATACTTTTTTTTTTTTTTTTAACAAGTCGGCCGTCTCCCACCGAGGCAGGGTGACCCAAAAAGAAAGAAAATCCCCAAAAGAAAATACTTTCATCATTCAACATTTTCACCCCACTCACACACAATCACTGTTTTTGCAGAGGTGCTGAGAATACAACAGTTTAGAAGTATATACATATAAAGATACACAACATATCCCTCCAAACTGCCAATATCCTAAACCCCTCGTTTAAAGTGCAGGCATTGTACTTCCCATTTCCAGGACTCAAGTCCGGCTATATAAAATAACTGGTTTCCCTGAATCCCTTCACTAAAAATTACCCTGCTCACACTCCAACAGCTCGTCAGGTCCCAAATACCATTCGTCTCCATTCACTCCTATCTAACACGCTCACGCACACTTGCTGGAAGTCCAAGCCCCTCTCCCACAAAGCTTCCTTTATCTCCAACCTTTTCGAGGATGACCCCTACCCTGCCTTCCTTCCCCTACAGATTTATACGCTCTCCATGTCCTTCTACTTTGATCCATTCTCTCTAAATAACCAAACCACCTCAACAACCCCACTTCAGCCCTCTGACTAATACTTTTATTAACTCCACACCTTCTCCTAATTTCCACACTCCGAATTTTCTGCATAATATTTGCACCACACATTGCCCTTAGACAGGACATCTCCACTGCCTCCAACCGCCTCCTCGCTGCAGCATTTACAACCCAAGCTTCACACCCATATAAGAGTGTTGGTACCACTATACTTTCATACATTCCCTTCTTTGCCTCCATAGACAACATTTTTTGTCTCCACATATACCTTGATGCACCGCTCACCTACCCACTCTGAAACCTTGCTCGTCCGCAATTCTACATTCTGTCTTACCTCTAATTCTTTCAATAGTAACCTACCGTACACTTTTCCTTTGTTTCTTTCAAAAAACCGGCTATCATTCAACGGCGGGGTGTCCCCCAAAAAAAATTTCCATTTAACCCCTCTGTCAATCATTAGGAACGGTTCTGCCCCTTTCTACGATTTTAAACAATACCAACACTCGCATGGCTATGGAGGACCCCCCCTCCATTTCAACGAGTCTAGAAATGATCCACGGGTCATAACAGTAAAGAAAATATTAATAATCCCATGGGCGTTCCACATTGCGCTGCTTTTTCACTCCTAAAAGTGTATTAACGTAGGCAAGGACCTGAAATTTCCTCCTTCTTCAAGACAGAAAAAAGTACCTCAGAAATCTACCCATGTAAAACAATACCTTTCCATCTCCCCATCACTTAACTTTCCTGTACTGTTTTAACCCATTCGTTTCTGACTATTATAACGGCTTTAGCCCCGGCTTTATATAAGGTACCATAAATCTCCTGTCAATCTAGTGACATCCCCTTGTCCAACATATGAAAAAAGCTCAACGTCAATGACACAGTATCAAACAACATCCCCCCCACCCGTCAAGAAAAAAAAAAGCTCCAACTGTGTTTTTGGTTTAAAACAGCGACTTCGCAGTGTATTTTCGTATGGTATTTATGGTTGTATTTTAGTTTTCCTGGTCTCATTTTATAGAATGGAAGGCATATTACAGAAATTGAGATGATTTTGATTGCTTTCTTAATGAAAAGTACCTTGAAATTGAGCTCAAATTATTTATACAAGTTCTACACCATTTCTACACTAATGCAATAGTCTGCATAGCAGTAAATCTTCTATTTTTTGTGAGAATAAAAATTCAAAGTGGAAAGCAAAAGAAATGTAAGAGGGGCCTGGGAACGTGACTAATGAACAGAGAAAATGTTATTTTAGTGTCAGGAATGTCTGTCTTGTTTATTCTGGACTCTATTTGGAAATTGGCATCTTCTGAAATTTGTGTGAAATTGGCAAAATTGCTAATTTCTGACCACATTATTGGATAGTTGAAATAGGTAAATGGGTGGCTTCTTGTACTCATTCGATAGAAAAAATGGAGTTCTAGCAAAATAGATATAATTTTTGTCGACTAGTACACTGGAATTGGCCGAAAATAGGGCTCAAAGTGGGCGAAATCGCCGATGTGTAAACATCGTCGAGACCGCTAACTTCGCAAGAGCATAATTCCGTATGTTTTCCATCAAATTTCATACTTTTCGTGTCATTATGATCGGGAAAAGATTCTCTATCATTTCATAAGATTTTTTTTTTTTACTAAAAAAATTTCGACCCTGAGAACGAGTTTAGGAGAGGGCCTCTTGACCCTGAAAGGGTTAACTGACAAATCCATTCATTCTCTAGGCTTTCTTAACTTATTTAACTCACTCCAAAATTTTTTCTTATTTTCATTAAAATTTCTTGACAGTGCCTCTTCCACTCTATCATCCGCTCTCCTTTTGCACTCTCACCACTCTCTTCACCTTTCTTTTACTCTCCATATACTCTACTCTTCTTATAACACTTCTGCTTTGTAAAAACCTCTCATAAGCTACCTTTTTCTCTTATCACGCCCTTTACTTCATCATTCCACCAGTCGCTCCTCTTTCCTCCTGCACCCACCCTCCTATAACCACAAACTTCTGCCCCACATTCTAATACTGCATTTTTAAAACTATTCCAACAATCTTCAACCCCTCCACTACTCATACTTGCACCAGCCCACCTTTCTGCCAATAGTTGCTTATATCTCACCCGAACCTCCTCCTCCCTTAGTTTATACACTTTCACCTCCCTCTTCTTTGTTGTTGCTATTTTCTTTTTGTCCCATCTACCTCTTACTCTAACTGTAGCTACAACTAGATAATGGTCCGATATATCAGTTGCCCCTCTATAAAGGTGTACATCCTGGAGCCTACCCATCAACCTTTTATCCACCAATACATAATCTAACAAACTACTTTCATTACGTGCTGTATCATACCTTGTATATTTATTTATCCTCTTTTTCATAAAATATGTATTACTTATTACCAAACCTCTTTCTACACATAGCTCAATTAAAGGCTACCCATTTTCATTTACCCCTGGCACCCCAAATTTACCTACTACTACCTCCACAACATTTTTACCCACTAGCATTGAAATCCCCAACCACAAGTACACACACGTGGTTCAAAACTCCCCACGCATTCACTCAACATTTCCCAAAATCTCTCTCTCTCCTCTACACTTTTCTCTTCCCCAGGTGCATATACGCTTACTATAACCCACTTCTCACATCCAACCTTCATTTTACTCCACATAATCCTTGAATTAATACATTTATAGTCCCTCTTTTCCTGCCATAGCTTATCCTTCAACATTATTGCTACTCCTTCTTTAGCTCTAACTCTATTTGAAACCCCTGACCTAATCCCATTTATTTCTCTCCACTGAAACTCGTCCACCCCCTTCAGCTTTGTTTCACTTAAAGCCAGGACATCCAGCTTCTTCTCATTCATAGCATCCACAATCATCTCTTATCATTCGCACAACATCCACGCACATTCAGACTTCCCACTTTGACAGTTTTCTTCTTATTCTTTTTAGTAATTATTACAGGAAAAGGAGTTACTAGCCCATTGTTCCCAGCATTTTAGTTGACTTTTACATCGCGCATGGCTTATGGAGGAAAGATTCTTATTCCACTTTCTCATGGATATAAAAGGAAAAGTAATAAGAACAAGAACTATTAAAATCAAATCAAAGAAAACTCAGATGAGTGTGTATAAATAAATGTGTACATGTATGTTTAGTTTGACCTAAGTGTAAGTAGAAGTAGCAAGACGTACCTGTAATCTTGCATATTTATGAGACAGACAAAAGACACCATATACATGTATACATATACATGTGTACACACACACACACACCAACACACACACACACACACACATATATATATATATATATATATATATATATATATATAAATATATATATATATATATATATATATATATAAAATATATATATTATATATATATAATATATATACGTATATATATATATATATAAATTATATATATATATATATATATATATATATATATATATATATAATCTAATCTATTATCTATCTATCTATCTATCTATCTATCTATCTATCTATCTATTATCTTAGACTACCAAGGAAGAGATTAAGAAATGGATTGATTTGTAATAAAATGTTCCTGTATTAAAACCAGTAAAACACATGGATTGGAAATAAATGGTATAAAATACCGACACAATGGAAATAAAAAAACACATATGCAGTATAATGTGATCCTTTATTGACAACATTTTGCCCACACAGTGGGCTTTTACAAGTCACAAACAGATCTGTTTGTGACTTGTAAAAGCCCACTGTGTGGGCGAAACGTTGTCATTAAAGGATCACATTATACTGCATATGTGTTTATATTTCCAAAACACATGGATAATGCTGATAGTCTTGAACTTGGATGCTGTAGCAAGTTAATGCAAATGACCACAGTAAAGATGTATCAGAGTATCATAAGATGAATAGTAAGACACTAGAACAACATACAGTACATTCAGATGTACCAAGTACTGTACTGTCTGTCTACTACCTAAACCTAGAAGGCTCTGAGCATGCAATTGTCTGTCTACTGTACTGTATGTCTATCATAGTTATGCTGATCAACTTATGCGCTTGTGTTAGTAAGTAGCAAATCCTGACCATGGGTATGACAAGGCATGCATTGCAGAAATGGACATAATTTCAGGAAGCATTTTGTGCTGCTGACAGTATTTAATTAAGACATTGGCAGTACCTGTTGGTGATATAAGAGAAGTCACCTATACAAATAGTTGATCTGAAAATAAGATGAAAAGCTGTATCTGTATTCCTGTCTCAGGTTTCTACATTCAGTCCAATTCTATGATGTTCAACTCCATATGATGCTTAGGTATATTATATCTAAATAGAACTACATTACTTATGTACTGCACATACAAATAAAATTGAATATAATACCTACTGCAGGTACTATTATATTTAATTTTATTTGTTTGATAATTTTTTATGCTCCCCACACATCTATCATTGTCATATACAGTTCCTAAAATTTAATGGGGAAGGGTGTGAGGAAGAGGTACATTCCCAGAGGTCCCTGAAGATAGAAACTACAAATAATGCAAAATTGGCTCTGAACAACAGTTTTTTTTGGATTGGGGTTCATTTTGCATTTCAGAACTTGTATCTTTAATGCAGGCTGGTTAGGTTCTGGGCTATTGCTGTAAAGTGAAAAATCACTGTAAAATGAAACAAAGCCTTTTTTCATTTTCAAATGCATGTAAAAGCCTGATAACATGTTTACATTGTATATTAAGTGAGCAGTAGAGATAGGCCTTAAAAGTGCATGTACAGTACATAATTACTTTTTTTTTCTCAACACATCTGCTGTCTCCCACCGAGGCAGGATGACCCAAAAAAGAAACACTTTCACCATCATTCACACAGTATCACTGTTTAGATGTCACTCCAAACAGCCAATATCCCAAACCCCTCCTTTAAAGTGCAGGCATTGTACTTTCCACCTCCAGGACTTGGGTCCGGCTAACCGGTTTCCATGGACCCCTTCACAAAATATTACCCTGTTCAAACTCCAACAGCTTGTCAGGTTCCAAAAACCATTCGTCTCCATTCACTCCTATCATTCTCACATCTGCTGCATGTCCAGGCCCCTTGCACATGAAACCACTTTTACCCCCATCTCTCCATCCTTTCCTTGGACGACCCCTACTCCTCCTTCCATCCACTACAGATTTATACACCCTCCAAGTCAACCTATTTCGCTCCATCTCTAAATGACCACACCACCTCAGTAACCCCTCTTCAGCCCTCTGAATAATACTTTTAGTAACTCTACACCTCTTCCCAATTTCCACACTACGAATTTTCTGCATAATCTTTACACCACACATTGCCCTTAGACATGACATCTCCACTGCCTCCAACCTCTTTCTCACTGCAGCATTAACAATCCATGCTTCACGCCCATATAAAAGTGTTGGTACCACTATACTCTTGTATATTCCCTTCTTTGCCTCCATGGATAACGTTTTTTGGCTCCACAGATACCTCAATGCACCACTCGCCTTTTTTCTTTCGTCAATTCTGTGGTTAACCTCGTCCTTTATAAAACCATCTGTTGACGAACCTATTCTCAAATATCTGAACTCATTCACTTCCATACTCCCTCCCTCCCTCCAGTGCGATATCCAGTTTTTCTGCACCTAACTCGTTTGATACCCTCATCACTTAACTCTTATCTGTGTGCACTTTCAACTTACTTTCTTTGCACACATTACTTACCTTAAAATATTTTTGTCCTTACCTTATAGTGAGTGGTGAATATATTTATTGTAGGAAGTCTGAATAAATGAAGAATGGGCATAATTGCAAAACCTCTACATTAGCAAACCAACGTCAAGTGAAGCACTGTAAAATAGGTCCTTCCTGTATATATCTCTAATCTGTCAAATATTGATGTGAATGAGGAATGATGATCAGATTAAGGAGATTTTGGAGTGGGAAGCCATTGAGTCAGAAAAGAATGTTGGATAATTGAATTCATTCACTGGTTGCCCAATCAGTAAAAGCACTGGATAATCAAAATCTGTAAAAATATGTATGAAAGCCTGTGAATTTGCAGGGACGACTACTTTTTTTTTTTATTGTATTATGATGCCTCACATTATGAAATATTCAGTATGACTGTTTTACTGTACAACGCTGCAAGTATACACGTAATCGTTAGTGGATTTGCAAGTTGTAAATCTATGAGACCAGTTTGTCTGTTGGCATGTGAAAGTTGTAGATCCTGAAACTTGGGTGACAGATCACATTATGTGTGTAGTGGATCTGCAAGCCCAGCTTATGGCAAAATTCATGGCTTCTGAAGGAGCACAATGTGTTTCTCATGAAACTGGAAAAAAAAAAATTTTTTTTTTTTTGTTGGTGATGAGTTGGCAACCATGTCTGTTTGTATTACTATCCACATATTATGTAATAACTTTAAAAACTTCAAAATGTGTGATATTATAGCTAAACTCTCGAAGAAAAAAGAAATACCATACATAAGAGTGACATTTAGATTTAGATAGACATTCATTATGTATGTATAAAGCAAGGTACATATTAATAAACATGAAACCTAATTATAGTTACCTAATAATGATTGACATTGTTTCTTGCAGGGTCAAATTACACTACCAGCAGATCGAACAGAAATTACTGGGGGAGAGTTGGTCCTGGTGGTTGGAAATGCATTATTTGATCAGCCAAGAAATTCTCTTCCCTCTGAGATGAGGCGTCATGTTGAACAAAACACTGAAGATGCCATCAGTATTCTCCACAAGCTTCTTACTGGCCTTGATGTTAATGTTAAGTTTTCTGGGTGAGTTATTGTGTTGTGAAATTTTCCCGAGAAGATGACTTGTGTAGCTTTTTATTTAGTATAAATTTTTCTTAAGAAAAAGTGTTGTGTTGCTGTTTTATTATTTTTTTATGACAATACAGTATTTGATAGTTATTATCATAAGGAAATTTGAAGATGTTTGATTTTCCCCATTCACCTGTAGTATTCATAATTTTTTTTAATGCATAATCACTCTAATATATGATCTCCATTTTTAATCTCTTAATCTTATATTAGCCAAAGTATTTTTTTGTGTTTTATGGGCTAATTTTTTATGAAATGTGAGCATGTGTGCTAGCACTTCTCTCTAATGAGGGAAGCTTTTACATTTGTCAAAAAAAAAAAAAAAATGAAAATTGAAGGTAACTGTGAAATATGAGTTTGTGGTTAGACTAGGTGCTGCTAAAATATAATTTGAAGTGTATAATAACAAGATATGGCTTTGTTTTATATATGTGATTTTCTGTAGTTGGAAAAGATGAGATGTTATATCTGATTTTAACATCTCTAAAAATTTATTAAATAATTTTTAACACATCAGCCATCTCTCACCAAGGTAGGGTGACCTCCCTCCCCCCACCCAAAAAAAAAAGAAAAAAGATAGCTGTCTTGCCAAAAGTGCACATACAAAATTCCAATTCCCCTCCAAATTGCATCATCCCCACCCATCATACAGTTTAAGCACTGTACTTCCCACCTCTAGGACTCAAGTTCAGCTTAGAATTTTGTTTAGTTAATTATCATTATAACTCTAATTATGATTCTTTTTGGTTTTGAGGAGCCCTATTATTTTGTGTAATTTATGATGTTGCCTGTGAGCAATTTCATTGATTGTTGTCTCAAGGTTGTTGATGTGTTTGGTTACTGTCAATAGCATACTTGTACTTAGTTCATAGTCCAGCAAAAGCATCACAGCTAACTCAGCTGCTTTTAAAAAAGTTGAAGTGTATTGGTGTATATCAACTGAATTTGATTACTCGGGTTAAAACAAGTTTATGATCCACAGAGTTCGGGACTTTGAATTTACTGGTGAGCTGTGTGTGTTTGACTTGCTGGGCATCATGCTGTACCATGGATGGGTGATAGATCCATCTAGTGAAGCTGCTGCTATCATTAATGATCTCTCCTACAACCAGCTCACCAACAATATCTTTGCATGGAGAGAAGAAGCTATCAGAACCAACAACAATGATTTACTTGTAAAAGGTATTAGATAATACAAAAGTTGTTGACAATAATTTCTCTGCATTTCTTAGTTAATCTTTTAACTCTGTCCAACTATTAGTATGCAAGTAATGTCATTGTGTCCTGTATACTGGTATGCACAATTTTTCTAAGCCTCAGATTTGCTGTGTCACTATTTTAGGCCTCAGCTGTGTAATTTGGTTCACTAGCTACCTTGTACCCCCTAGGAAAATAATCCAGGCTGCATGGGTATGCTTGGGGCATTGTGGTAATCTTTTTCTTTCAACAAACCTGCCGTATCCCACCGAGGCAGGGTGATCCAAAAAGAAAAACAAAAGTTTCTCTTTTTAACCCTTTCAGGGTCGAGAGGCACTCTCCTAAACTCGTTCTCAGGGTCAAAAATTTTTTGGAAAAAAAAAATTATTTTTTCTTATGAAATGATAGAGAATCTTTTCCTGATCATAATGACACCAAATTTATGAAATATGGTGGAAAACTTTCGGAATTATGCTCTCACGAAGTTAGCGGTCTCAATGATGTTTACGCATCGGCAATTTTGCCCACTTTGAGCCCTATTTTCAACCAATTCCTGTGTACTAGTCGACAAAAATCATATTTATTTCGCTAAAACTCCATTTTTTCAATTGAATGTGTACAAGAAACCACCCATTTACCAATTTCAACTATCCAATAAAGTGCTTAGAAATTGGCAATTTTGCCAATTTCACACAAATTTCAGAAGATGACAATTTCCAAATAAGGTTCAGAATAAACAAGAAAGACATTCCTGGCACTAAAATAACATTGCCTCTGTTCATTAGTCACGTTCCCAGGCCCCTCTTACATTCTTTTGCTTTCCACTTTGCATTTTTATTCTCACAAGAAATAGAAGATTTACTGTTATGCAGACTACTGCATCAGTGTAGAAATGGTATAAATAATATCAGCGCACTTGTGAAAGAATATTAGACTCACCAGTTGATGTGTATTGGACACTTGGCATGATTTATTTAATTTTGAACTTTGGTAAAAATCGAACATTTCTGCTACTTTGAGCTCAATTTCAAGGTACTTTTCATTGTGAAACCAATAAAAATCATCTCAATTTCTGTAATATGTCTTCCATTCTATAAAATGAGACCAGGAAAACTAGAATGCAACCATGAATGCTATATGAAAATACAGTGCAAAGTCGCTGATTTAATCCAAAGAAAACAGCACTGTGTGCTGCAGGATTTTTTTTTATACTGCGTACACTGACCACATAGACCCATTCTTTCATATGTAGGCCTACCTGCTCTTTCTCTCTAGATTTGAAGGCGCTAGAATTTAGGCGTTCTAGTATGTCAATAACCCTGGTGCGTAAGCTGTACTAATACGTCGGAAACCCTGAAAGGGTTAAATTTAGTAATTTATACAGGAGAAGGGGTTACTAGCCCCTTGCTCCCGGCATTTTAGTCGCCTCTTACAACATGCATGGCTTACGGAGGAAGAGTTCTGTTTCACTTCCCCATGGAGCTAAGAGGAAATAAACAAGAACTAGAAAGAAAATAGCAGAAAACCCAGAGGGGTGTGTGTGTGTATATATGCTTGTATGTGTAATGTGACCTAAGTGTAAGTAGAAGTAGCAAGACGTACCTGAAATCTTGCATGTTTATGAGACAGAAAAAAGGACACCAGCAATCCTGCCATCATGTAAAACAATTACAGGTTTCCATTGTGGTAATATCACCCAGTAAACATAGGCTCATCATGGCTGACTCACATTCTAACCTTTCTTGCAGTGAAATCCAGGAAATAATGTTCAATCCTGGCACCAGTGATATTAAGGAGGGTGATAAGGAATCATTATTTTATGGTTTTGAAGGGGACTAGAATGGTGTTATGACCAGGAAAAGTGCTAGTACAACAAAAGGTATAGCAGTTCCTTCCACCTCTGGTTTTGAAATACAAATTAGAAACTGATGGCTCTTTATCCCTGAAATGGATAGTGATTGGAGTGTTTCAGGCAATAGTAGTGGAGACGAATATATGTATAAGAAGGAGATTGATGAATCAAGTGATAGTGATGCAGAATATTCTCCCCTGAAATGCATACTGGTGTGGTGGTGTATGAGGTCTGGCTCTATCTCAAGTTGTTACTTTGTTCTGTGGTTAGACATCTAGGCAGCGTGATACTGTTGCAGGAGATACTGAAAGTGATTGTGACATTTATGGTACTTTCATTGGTATAAAAATGACATGCAGTACCAACAACAGCTGTGACAACAACCATGACAGCATCAGTGGTGACAGCAGCACCAACCATAGCAATACTAACACTGTTGACACCACCATCAGCCAGTACAACACTAGCCAGTACAGCATAGCCTGGACAATGCCCCAGCAGTGATGCCACTACCAGCTGTGACAACACCAGCCATGACACCAAAGGCAAATATTATATACCCACAGGCCAACAGGGTATGGAACTGGCAGGAATGTTCGTAATTTGTGCCAATGTTTCATGATTTGATGATAGTAATAGTGGAATTCATCCAGATTCTCCTATAACAGATGATTCCACTGAACTTGACTACTTTGTTATTCTTTTATTTTTTTTTTATTTTTTATTATCACACCGGCCGATTCCCACCAAGGCAGGGTGGCCCGAAAAAGAAAAACTTTCACCATCATTCACTCCATCACTGTCTTGCCAGAAGGGTGCTTTACACTACAGTTTTTAAACTGCAACATTAACACCCCTCCTTCAGAGTGCAGGCACTGTACTTCCCATCTCCAGGACTCAAGTCCGGCCTGCCGGTTTCCCTGAATCCCTTCATAAATGTTACTTTGCTCACACTCCAACAGCACGTCAAGTATTAAAAACCATTTGTCTCCATTCACTCCTATCAAACACGCTCACGCATGCCTGCTGGAAGTCCAAGCCCCTCGCACACAAAACCTCCTTTAACCCCCTCCCCCCAACCCTTCCCAGGCCGACCCCTACCCGCCTTCCTTCCACTACAGACTGATATTACTCTTGAAGTCATTCTGTTTCGCTCCATTCTCTCTACATTCCGAACCACCTCAACAACCCTTCCTCAGCCCTCTGGACAACAGTTTTGGTAATCCGCACCTCCTCCTAACTTCCAAACTACGAATTCTCTGCATTATATTCACACCACACATTGCTCTCAGACATGACATCTCCACTGCCCCCAGCCTTCTCCTCGCTGCAAACATTCATCACCCACGCTTCACACCCTATAATAGAGCGTTGGTAAAACTATACTCTCATACATTCCCCTCTTTGCCTCCAAGGACAAAGTTCTTTGTCTCCACAGACTCCTAAGTGCACCACTCACTCTTTTTCCCTCATCAATTCTATGATTCACCTCATCTTTCATAGACCCATCGCTGACACGTCCACTCCCAAATATCTGAATACGTTCACCTCCTCCATACTCTCTCCCTCCAATCTGATATTCAATCTTTCATCACCTAATCTTTTTGTTATCCTCATAACCTTACTCTTTCCTGTATTCACCTTTAATTTTCTTCTTTTGCACACCCTACCAAATTCATCCACCATCTCTGCAACTTCTCTTCAGAATCTCCCAGAGCACAGTGTCATCAGCAAAGAGCAGCTGTGACAACTCCCACTTTGTGTGTGATTCTTTATCTTTTAAACTCCACGCCTCTTGCCAAGACCCTCGCATTTACTTCTCTTACAACCCCATCTATAAATATATTAAACAACCACGGTGACATCACACATCCTTGTCTAAGGCCTACTTTACTGGGAAAAAATTTCCCTCTTTCCTACATACTCTAACTTGAGCTCACTATCCTCGTAAAAACTCTTCACTGCTTTCAGTAACCTACCTCCTACACCATACACTTGCAACATCTGCCACATTGCCCCCCTATCCACCCTGTCATACGCCTTTTCCAAATCCATAAATGCCACAAAGACCTCTTTAGCCTTATCTAAATACTGTTCACTTATATGTTTCACTGTAAACACCTGGTCCACACACCCCCTACCTTTCCTAAAGCCTCCTTGTTCATCTGCTATCCTATTCTCCGTCTTACTCTTAATTCTTTCAATTATAACTCTACCATACACTTTACCAGGTACACTCAACAGACTTATCCCCCTATAATTTTTGCACTCTCTTTTATCCCCTTTGCCTTTATACAAAGGAACTATGCATGCTCTCTGCCAATCCCTAGGTACCTTACCCTCTTCCATACATTTATTAAATAATTGCACCAACCACTCCAAAACTATATCCCCACCTGCTTTTAACATTTCTATCTTTATCCCATCAATCCGGCTGCCTTACCCCCTTTCATTTTACCTACTGCCTCACGAACTTCCCCCACACTCACAAACTGGCTCTTCCTCACTCCTACAAGATGTTATTCCTCCTTGCCCTATACACGAAATCACAGCTTCCCTATCTTCATCAACATATAACAATTCCTCAAAATATTCCTTCCATCTTCCCAATACCTCTAACTCTCCATTTAATAACTCTCCTCTCCTATTTTTAACTGACAAATCCATTTGTTCTCTAGGCTTTCTTAACTTGTTAATCTCACTCCAAAACTTTTTCTTATTTTCAACAAAATTTGTTGATAACATCTCACCCACTCTCTCATTTGCTCTCTTTTTACATTGCTTCACCACTCTCTTAACTTCTCTCTTTTTCTCCATATACTCTTCCCTCCTTGCATCACTTCTACTTTGTAAAAACTTCTCATATGCTAACTTTTTCTCCCTTACTACTCTCTTTACATCATCATTCCACCAATCGTCCTCTTCCTCCTGCACCCACTTTCCTGTAACCACAAACTTCTGCTGAACACTCTAACACTACATTTTTAAACCTACCCATACCTCTTCGACCCCATTGCCTATGCTCTCATTAGCCCATCTATCCTCCAATAGCTGTTTTATATCTTACCCTAACTGCCTCCTCTTTTAGTTTATAAACCTTCACCTCTCTCTTCCCTGATGCTTCTATTCTCCT